AACCCTGGTCCCTGTGCTTGCCTAAGCAGGCACTTAGTCCCTGAGCTCTCTTGCCAGCCCACAGTTCTGTTTCTTATCACTAGTAGAGCCCAAGTTAGATCACATAGAGAAACTTAGGGTTTAAATTAGTTTTGTGCTTGAAATGGACAAGAAGAATGGAAATCTCATTGTTAGAGAAAGCGTTGAATTAGATCTAGATTTTCTCCAAAGATAGTAATTAAATGTGGGGTAAATTTTTATCACAATTGAGAAGCACAGCATTGTTTTTTTATATTATCGCTCTGATTTAACAGAATAAGCATCACACTCTTTGTTCTTTTTCTCCTCCTGGTATTTTGCATGCAAGGAGTGGGAAAGTATATGCCATGATGGTATAAATTTTATTATGTGGTGTGAATGTCTGACTCTGAGGCTGTTATAATTTAGTTAAACTAAAAATGTACAACTCAGAAGCTGTATTTATTTTCCAGGGACACAACCAAATCATCACCTATAGCCGGCCCATTTATTTTTGTGTGCTGTGTGGCCTCATTTTGCTCCTTGATGCAGGGGCCAAGTCCAGGCACCCTCCCCGTTACGTCATATATGGCCTGAAGCTCTTCTCCTCAGAGTCTTTGCAGACAGCCAGGGACCACTTGATAGGTGAGTGTGATTCCGGGTCCTAAGGGTGAACATCAGGGAGGGAGGATGCATCCTCCTTGCATGTTCTGAGTTACTAAGTGGAGAAACCTCCTTACTCGGCTTCTGGGTGAAGAGATGAGCCTTTCTGTCTGGGCTTATGGAAGACTGGTTGGGAACCGGAGCTCCATCTCTTCCACTGGGAGATTTCTCTGAAAGGGTTTCGCTATCCATAACTTCTAAGAGGCTGCCCCCGTGACATCGGAAGCATGATGGTTGTGGTGTCTGCTGGGGTGTCCTGGCCATTGGGCCTTCTGCCTCAACTCTTGCCGAAGCACAGATGCCCTGGGCAAACATGAGTGGGCACCCTTCGCATGTCCAGGCAGAGCTGTGCGTGCTCTAGGTGTCCTGGCTTCTGTAGGGGCACTCTGTTGGACTTCCTATTTGGGAGCGTGTGCTGTAACACACTCCTTGTAAGTGAACGCCAGCTCACCACATGGTTTAGGTAGAGCCTGACTCCACAGCTGGGCTGCTGGTGGCTTGGGTCCCTGTTCTGCCTTGTCACTAGATGAGCCTCAGAGCAGCATTCCATTGTGATGTGGGGACACAAACACAACCCACCTCGGAAGCTATTGTAAGGTTTAAGTGAGCTAATATGCTGAAATGTATAGAACGGTGCCCAGCACCAAGCAGCAATCATTGGTGCCCTTAGTTTGCAGAAAGTCTGTTCAGTACTGACTGCAGCTCTGCAGAGTGCTCTAGTGTTCTTGCCATGAAAGCAAAGAGTCATGGCCTTGTCACCTTGTGACTGGCTATGATCACATTGATCGGCTGAACAGATGGGGGGCAGCACATCCTCTGGTCTCTCAGGTGCCAGTGGGGAGCTGACACAAGAGCCTTAGGGTGACATTGTCCTGTCCTCCACCTCCCAGCAGCTCCCTGAATTTCTCAGTGGGACTGAGGTGGGGGAAGCTTCCACTGTGCTCCATGTGGATGGAAACCTCACCCTTGCCCTGCTGCCCAGCTGCTGTGGCCCCATGCCTCCTCCTGCTGCACGGGCGGCAGGCCTTGTGCTTCTGTGCCAACGCCTCCTCCTCACAGAGCCAGTGTCTTTCTCCATTACCTTGGAGGGGGAGCTGAGCAGCTTCCTGAGGCCGAAGAACCATGTTTCAGAGAATTTTGAAGTCCAGTAAGGAAACAGAAACAGTGCTCCGGCGCCAAGAACATTTGCTTACTGAGAGTATTTATTTCACCCCTTAGTATTATTTGAAGTCTGTGAATGTACACAGGCTAGCTTGGGCAGCCACGTACGGACTCCTCCCAGGTCCTCCAGTCATTCTGACCCGGGATGCTTTGGCTCAGCAGCTTCCTCTTGGAATCAGCCTCCAAGGAGAAGTCAGGGCTCAAGCAGGCGGAGATGCCCAGTTGTGACTGCACATGTGTCAGAGTGCTGCCCTTTCTTACCTCGCTTTTTATTGTTTTTTAACAGTAGCTCTGGGGCCTATGGTCCTGAGGCTTGGGGATCAGAGACAGAGAGAGGACACAGGACAGGGAAGCTGTGTGTTCAAGTGTCACCTGTTCCCTCCCTGTACCCCCTTCTGTCCTTTCCCTGGATCTTGAGCAAGGGTCAGTGCTGACAGCGTTCTACCTCTCTCTGTGACAAGGGACAGTTAGCCTCTCAGCTCATGTTCCACTTCTAGTCTCTGAAGTGCTCTGTAGTCTGCCCTACCCTGGACTATGCTAGTGCCTACCAGCTAATTTCCCTGAACTTCCTCCCATCTTCTGTCCTCTTGTGACGTTCTTTGCACAACACTTAACCCTTTCCTAGTAATCTGCTTACATTGGCCATGTTCGATCCTGGTCTGTCCCTCCCCCCTCCAGTCTTGCCCGGAGACTGCTCACTCACCTCTGTGTTCTCAGCATCCACACTGGGCGGTGGAGTACACAGGCATCTCGAAACACTTGTGACTTGTGAGACACATGAACGGAAGGACATGAAAGGATGCTTTAAGTGCTAAATGAATTAATATGTAAGTGGACTTTTGGGTCACTTCCCATGTGTCACCAGAAAGCTTAGCCTAGTAGACTTCGTGGCAGCGTGAGCTCCCTTGGAAGCATGTCCTGCAGATGACTTGTAGAAAGATATTTAGGAGAAGAAATGCACGGCACACATTCTGTGTACACATGGCATACGCACACTTCACATAGCAACAGCACGCACCTCTCCCTCATTCTCATTTTCTACTCCAGCCCAGCCAGCACTGTTGAGTAAACGTGGCTGTTGGGCTGTGGCAGCCTCATCGTAGCATGAGAATGTGAGGTGTCTCTGAGGCGTGAAGGCAAGGCTGCGGTGCGCTTGCAAAAGCCAATGGCCAGGGGTGGCGCGGCTGCTACATGCACCCTCTCCTGTTATTTTTCTTTAGGTCCATCAGGGAGCGAGGAGGCAGGGAATATGGCCTTCCTCCCTTCTGCCCTGGGACTTCCTTTCCCTCAGAACCTCCTACTATGTATTTTTTGTCTGCTTGTCAACAATGACAAGTGGAAATGGCAGCAAATGGTCCAGCAAGCTGACTGAATGACTTGTGCAGCAAAGATAAACAGGAAAATAGAACAAGAGTGGTCCTATGGGCTGAATGTGTTAAATGGCATACAGATCTGCAGGGAGCAAGAAAAGACAGCGGAAGCACTCTGAGAACAAGCGAGGTGGGGAGGACGGAGGCAGAGACGCCTTTGAAAGCAGCTCGAAGCCATTTGTGCCTTGTGGAGCCCCTTTCCCTGTCTACTGGACTGTCACAGGATTTGCCTAGCACAGAACCACTGCCATCATGAGAGCAGAGCCCCGCAAGGACAGCAAGAAAAGAGAAACAGAGGGGGAGTAGGAGGGGAGAGCAGTGGACTGCTGCTGTGACAGAGCACCGCAAGCTGGGTGGCTTAAAGCACAACGACACAGTGTTTTACAGTCCTGGAACTGGGAAGCCAGGCCTGGGCATGAGCAGGTTGGCCCCCCATGGTGTCTGCTTTCTGGGGTTTCATTTCTTCCTCAAGGATGCCTGTGTCTCTGAGTCCACATCTACCCTTTTAAGGAGAACAGGCCTAATGGATTAGGGCCCAGATGGTCCCCAATGTCATCTTAGCTTGACCATCATCTGTGAAAATTTTATTTCCAATTAAGTCATTGGAACTGGTGACTTGGATTTCATTGTTTTTAGGGAGCCTCTATCCTACCAGTAGAGAAGAAATGCTTAAGTGAAAGAACCAGGGGACGTGCAAAGACGTGGCCAGAGGCCCCATCGCATCTCTCTCTTGTGGTGGGGAGAGTTGTCCTCCCAGGCTGGTAGGGAGGATGTGAAGCATCTCCAGAATGAGCCTCCTGGAAGCTGTTCTGGAGACCAGCACACATCGGGGCTCTTGCCCAGCTGCGGAGGTGGGCAGCAGGGGAGAAGCTCAGTAGAGCTACTTTCAGAGAGCGGGGCCTGCCTCCCTTGGCATCAGGGGCTGCAGCCAGCCCAGCATGGGGACAGTGCAAGGATGGCGACACTTTCTGAGGAGCACTTGAAGGCGGGAGAATGTTGAATGGCAGAACTACGGAAGGAGGAGTGAAGGTAAATGAAGGAGATGGAAACTCCCAAAATAATATTCTTCTGTTAACTTCTTTTTGTATATTACCCTTTGTTTATAGACAGGCCATCACGCTGCATTTTTTGTTTTCATTGTAAAGAAAGGGATCCTTCCAAGAGAAAGGGAAAGGCTTCCCTGGTCAGCACTCAAGTCCTGTGGTCAGGCAGAGGCTGGTCGTGGCGGGGCTACAGCTGACTTTCTGTTTGGGTAACTTTGGTAGAATCTTGTGGGTGAGGGTGGTTTTGTACCTGTCCTATGGACCTAAGAAAACAGGGTTTCTTAGTTCAGAGCACCCTGTTTTAAAGGGACCAGAACACAGCTGGGACAGGTGCCAAAGAGGTAAACCACATAGGATCTGCAGATGGGCTAATAGAACAGGGCTTTGTGACTCAGAGAAGAAACCCCTGGAGCTAGAGGCATATTCCACACCTTTGGGTGCTCAGAGGTGGCCAGGCTAGGGGAAGGGACGCTGGTCTGTGTTGCAGCTACAGCATCTACTCTAGACACGTGATGTGTGACCACAGCTCAGGACAGGGAAGACCTGAGAAACGGCTTGTGTGAAGCTGTCTTCTGGAAGTTTGGGGTCTAGGGGTGCAGGGTGCGCCCTGACATGAGGCCATTCGAGGTGAGGTGGGAGAAGGCCACAGTTTCAGCATTGGTCCATGCATAGGACAGGCTCCTTCTCGAATGGCCTCTGGGGTTCTTTTCAGATGGAAGTTTTCTTTTTCACTGTAGTCTCCAAGACAAGAAACCTTTGCCTACCGTAGTGCAGCTTCCATCACGCAGTCGTTGGAGGCAGGTGGCAGCTCAGCAGCTGGTTACTGGTTTGGACCCTCCCTGCCTTTGCCTGCACACCCAGCTTCACTATCTGTGTCTGCAGGAGGGGCTGTTTCCTGGCTACACCAGTCCACACAAAGAACGTGTGCACACAGGAACAGCCTGTTGGCGACTGCCGCACATAGGGTTTGATCTGCTCTGCAGTCATTCCTGCTCTTTGCACTTAGCAAAGGAAATAAGATATAAGAATATATCTATAGAATACTATAACATATAGTACTCTAACTTACGAATTTTGCTTGAAATTAAATTGAACCAAAAGTCTCTCCATTTATGGTAATTAAGCTAGAAAATAGGAAGAAGAACTGAGAATCAAAGCCCTGTTCAGCAGTGTCCTAAAAGAAAATGTTCCCAGTAAAAATTATGAAGCACCACAGGGACTTTATTTCTTCTTGGAAAAAAGGGCAAAATAATTGCCACAGTTTTAGGTGTATTTAGCTGCAGCCATCAGATGAGATCAGGGAGGCCCTTCCCTGCATTCTGCCTCTGCCGCCTTTGCTTACGCACAGGGGCTTTCTCCACCGGAGCACTGAGCAGAAGGCCTTGTGCCCTGGCTCCCCTGCTGACCAGCGTCCCTGCTGTGTTGTCTCGTCAATGCCCAGGGCTGTGCCCACATTTCTCCTTGGCAGTGGCCTTCTGGCCTGGCCTGCCCCTTCATTTACCTTGTGCCACTATCGGGAGTTCCAGGTCTTTATGCATCACTGCTTGTACCCTGGTTGAATTGGTGAATGTGCTTCTCCTGGAGAATACCATCCCCACCCTGACACTGGTCTGCAGTCCTTCCTTCCCAGCACATGGGACTACGGACTAAGCAAGGCCCTTGCACTATCCCTCTGCCTGCCCTGGAAGGGGGCAGGGCCGCACAGGACCCAGACATTGTGGCTTGGCTCCGGGCCCCAAGGGCAAGGGAACAGGAACTTCTGAGTTTGCTCAGAATTATATGGGTTAAAATCTTGATGCTTATGGTATATATTCCATAGTTAACTCTCTAGTTCTTGCATCTTTTTGTATCTGTGAATTGCATTCAGAGAGACTGAAAAAGACATGAGCTCTGATAGTGCTATCTAGCAGATAGGTGCTTGCACCTTACTGCCTCTCGTGAGTGGAGGAGTGAGCTGCCTTCAGGTGGGGGTCTCTCTCTCAGCAGCATGGCAAGCACCCAAGGTGGCAGCTCGCAAAGAGTGAAGGTTCATGTTGGCTCACCGTTTTGGAGGTTCCGGTCCATGGTCAGCTGGCTTTACTGTTTCTGGGGCTGTGACAGCACAGGATGGCAGGAGCATGGGCATAGCAAAGCCATCCACTTCCTGGCCAGGGTGGGAAAAGAAAGAGGATGAGACTAGGTGTCCCCCTGTGCCCTTCAAGGACACCCTGCCAGTGACCGAAACCTCCTAGTAGGCGCCCCTGCTAAGCTTTCCACCACCTCCCAGTAGCATCAGCTGGGGACGCAGCTGCTGACACTGGGATCCCACAGATGCAGACTGCAGCAGGTGCCTTGGGCTTCTACAGCAGAGCTGAAGGCTTGCCATGAAAATCTTAACCAGAACATCACTGTGTACCAAGCATGGCCCCAGTCCAATCAGAGGCCATATTGTCCTGGCCATGTTCATTACATCAAATTTCAGACATTCGGCACAGTCCCTTAGTCCTTGCTTTGGAGAGATTTTTCCCCTACTTACTTTTAGCCAACTGTCAGGCAAAGGTATGTGCAAATACTCCTGTGCCTCCTAGTGCACTCTGGGGAGCTTGTGTTTCCTATTTTTCAAAAGAGCTGAAGTGCCCTGCCTTCCTTTCGTGTTTCTGTTGCTCACCGTGGTTTATGTGGTTTCAGAATGTTTTTCCACTGCTTCATACTGGATTTCAAATTGAATTTCCTTAGTTTTACTAAGGCTTGCCGGTATCAAACTTCGATTCCCTCTTCCTGCTACCTGAGTCAGCACGAAAGGAAGGTGAATTGCCTGCCACATTGCCTCAGGATTTCCAGGCAGCTGGACCAGAAGGGAACCCTGAGGGAGGGAGAGGGCGAAAGGCTGCTAGGAAACAGCTGGGCTCCCCTACTTTTCTGCCTACTCACACTTTGTTCCTGAGGCATCAAATTACAGCCTGAGAAGGCTTTAAAGGATTGCCCTGCTGCTTGGCCCTGACAGTGGGAGGAGGCATGGTCTCTCCTTGCCCCCCAGGGGTCCTGTGCTTCCTCAGTGAATTATGCGTACCTGGCCTTTGTGACAGCTCTGGGCTCCAACTGAACTGTGCTCCCCAGCACGTGTGTGTATCGGAGTTAGTTTTCATGTGGGCAGGGCAGCCTGGATGCACAGGGCCAGGGGCCCTGGTTCTGCTTCTTCTTCCCCCTCTGTGCAGAAACAGCCTGTAACTATTGGCTGTTGTTCTGCACATTCCCATGGTTTCCCTGGCTTTTCCCCTCTCCCTTAACATGTCAAGTCTAATATTTCTTTTCTTCTGCATTTTAGTTTGGTGACATTAAGGATTTAACCCAGGGTCTACACTGAGCTACATCTCTAGCCATTTTTATTTTCTCCTTTTAAAATTTTAAGACAGGGTGTTGCTGAGTTACTGAATTGCCTAGACTGGGCTCAAATCTATGATGCTCCTGCCAGAACGCTGGGATCACTGGCATCCACCACCATACCTAGTTTCCAAGTCCAGTTCCAAGGATGGCTTTCCTCTTTCCTTCCTGTCCCTGAGATTTCAGCTTGCTGTGTGCCTTCGCGTAGGCCGCCCTTTTACTTCCACTGCATTTCTGTCACAGTCTGGGTGGGAGAAAATCTAGAAGGCAAAGAGGTAGCATTGTAGGAGTGACCAACATGGGTCTTCTCGCTTATCACCAACTCGGTGTGTTCATTTTCAGTGTTTTTGTACTGCTTCCCTGCGATTTCGCTCCTCGGGCTCTTCCCGCAGATCAACACCTTCTGCACATACCTTCTGGAGCAGATCGACATGCTGCTTTTTGGTGGCTCTGGTGAGTTGCTTCCCTTCTGCTAAGGGTCCAATGTCAGAAGAGGTAAATAGCTTGGTGGGCGTGTGGGAGCCTGCCAGCGGCCTTGCTCTGTCCTGCGCTCTTCCATCGTTCCCTCTCAGTCAGGCTGAGGGGCCTCAGATGCACCCCATTCCATTGGAAGTGGCCCAGCTGGCCTCATCAGGGAAAGGCAGGCTCAGAGAAATGAAGCAAAGGATTTTCTGTGACTTGGTGGGAAGTGTGTGTGTGTGTGTGTGTGTGTGTGTGTGTGTGCACGCGCACGTGCATGTATGGGCACACACATGCAGGAATTGGAAGTGTGTCAGTGTGAGCCTGTGTGCGTTGTGTGTGCACCTGAACATGTAGATGATCTGGTCCCCGTACTGTCCCTGTGGCCCATTTAATATGGTGCTTTAGACACAGACTGAGCTGGGCTGGCCTCCACCCACACTTCCCTGGAGAGTTCCCAGGTGTGGTCCCCAGGGGGCTTGGCTTTTCAGCCTGCTTCTCTCTCAGTGACGCAAACACCCTGACCTCAGGGTCCCTGAGATGACATCACACGCAGAGTGATCACTTTTAGCTCCACATGTCGCACACATGCACACACCGGCTCCCCTGCCTGCTCCCCATCTTTGTGGATTTTGCTTTCAGTGACCACTACATTGGCCCTTTAAGAAAGGTGTGCAGGCTCTTCCTGGGTGCTTCCCGCCTCCATACTCAACAGTTGCCCACCGCCTCACACCACCAGCTGCCTGTTTTCTGATAGATCCCATAAATGCATTTCTTGCCCCTTGGACAACCAGTTTGTATCTGAGAACTACACCCTTCTCTCACTGTATCGTGCCATTCTTTGCTTTTGCGAATGGCCAGTGGAGAAAGGAACCGTCGGTGTTTGTGTTCCAGCTGTGTCTGGGATCGTGTCGGCCGTGTACAGCGTGGGCCGCAGCGTCTTGGCGGCCTCCCTGCTCCACGTGTTCTGCTTCAGCGCAGTGAAGGTAGGTACACAGACCCCGCAGGACCCTGGCTCTCCTTCTTTCATTCATTCAGGTGATAGATGCTTTATGTAAACAGATGCTTTCTGTAATTACAAAAGCAAAGGAATGTGGGCAGCTGGAGGCCAGGGCTGGCTGGGCAAGGCCTGCTGGTGGCAGGAGAGGGGTCAGGATGCCAGCTTTGTCTTTCTGGGCCTGGCCATGCTGTCCCCTGCAGATGTCCCCCTGCCACAGTCGGTCAGTGATGTCAGGGAGGCCCAGATCCACGGTCTGGTCCTCCTCTTCCTTTTGAAATGCCACTCAAGGGGTGGAGGGACAAGGCTGCCCCAGGCCCTACGGGTCAGAGAAGAGGAGCGGACAGCCCAGCACGGAGTGCTGGCACCTAGAGGGCATGTGGATGTGGATGGAGAGGGCCAAAGCCTGGGCCAGCAGCCAAACCAGCTTCAGGTGACAGAAAACAAGATGAGGCTTGGCTTCTGGGAAACAAAAGTTCTATCAGAAAAGCAATATAATCATTTTACGAATATAGGCCAGCTGCAGGTCGTCTTTATGAGGATCTGAATCATAATCCTGCTGTAGCTATGATGGGGGATGGATGAAAGAGCTGTGTGGGTGTGGCCCACGTCCTTCTCCCTTGTTAGAAAGTCAGTCGGAAATATATGAAATGAAAACAATATCCAGAACTTTTGATTTACAAACCACATTGTTATTTGAGAACAGGGAGGTAATGAGATGAAGAAGAAACAACAAAAAGTAAGGGCCAGCCAGATAGCTCAGCAGATTAAAGCGCCTACATGCAGGTGCAGGGAACAGGGCTTGGATCCCCGGGCCGGGGCGTGCTGAGAGGGCAATCGCGACTGGGCGAGGTGACACACGCCTGTAATCCCAGATCTTGGGAGGCTGTAAACAGGTGGGTCACTACAAGTCTGATCTAGTAGTGAGACGCTGGACACCCTGTAGACCTTTCCCTAAAATACAAAAGAAAAAAAAAATATCACCGCTTCCTGGGAGGAGGAGCTGGCACAGGGTGTAGTGTTGGGGACCCTGATGTTTCACTATGGTGGTACCTCACAGCCTGGGAGGAACACACACACACACACACACACACACACACACACACACACACAGTGTGGCCCAGACGTCTTCCACTGGGTAGGAAATAAACTTGCATCACGTGTATTTCTGAATGCTATAAACCCCAGCCAGTCCTTAATGTTTTCAACCATAGGCAGCCCTTTGATAAAGTAAAAATTAAATGTACAACATTAAACTCAAATGTTATAAATTCAAGAATGTTCTTAACATATAGCATATGATTATGTTTAACAAAATAACTGTTAAAGCTAGACATGGTGGTGTGCACCTGTAATCTTAGCACTCAGGAGGCTGAGACAGGAGGACTGCTACCAGTTTGGGGCCAGCCTGGGCTCAGACATAGTGAGGACAAAGCCAGCCTAGACTACATAGCAAGGACCATCTCAAAACAAACAAACAAACAAATCCTTAAGAAAATAATTTTTAAAAAAGATTCACTTAAAGTCATTGAACTTACCAATGCTGTGTCAAAAGACAATTGCTTACCTAACTTCTCTTTGTGGAGAAGGATTGTAGAGGAGAAAGATTTGGGCATCTTTTGCTCTGGTGCTTCACAGCATGATTTCTCCGGGGCAGTCAGTGGTATAGTCCCCCCACTGCCATCCCTTTCAGAAGAGGGGTGAGGATGGTGGGGGGATCAAGAAAGGTGGGGGAGAGGAAGGCTTCTTTCTCTAAAACACACATGTATCTCACTAGCTACTGGTC